TATAACACGTCCTCATGTTCACCCTCATTATACACGGGTTCCCCAACTTCCTCCAACTCCTCTATCATATCCTTCTCAGTCAAAAGATTTTTATTCTTCTGACCAGCAGGCTTCCTGCAATCAATCGCTCTATGCCCCTGTTCACCACACCTAAAGCACTTAATACTTGAGCTGGAACTATCCCGCTGTGGCTGATAAGTAGGAGGAGATTCTTGAGGGCGAACTGGCTGACTTCCTTCACCTCTGACCACTGGCCTCCTACTTTGCTGTTTCTCTACTGCAAGTGCTCGCTGATATGCCTCAAAAACTGTCCACAATGAATGAAGGCTGAGAACATCCTACAGGGGCTACCTTAATCCCCCCAAATACCGTGCTACCATCTGCTCCTCCGTCTCAGATAAATCATTCCGAGCCACCAACTGATAGAATTTTTCAGTATAATCATTGATTGATCTTGCGCCTTGCCTTAGTGAATGAAGCCTCTGAAACAAGGTTTGAGTATAGGCGAAAGGGAGGAAGTGCCCTTTCATCTTCTTCTTCATCTTCTCCCAGTTAGTAATTTTAGATTTTCCCTGTCGCTCCCGTGAACGCATCAACTGTTCCCACCATGCAGATGCCCTACCTTTGAGTTTGATGGCAACCAGTTTCACTTTAACACGATCTGGAACCTCCTTATATTCAAAAATCCGCTCCACTTCATTCAGCCAATCAATAAATCCTTTAGCCTGCAACGTACCAGAAAACTCGGGCAGATCCACTCTAAAATCGAGATCCACATGATGATCCTCCCGTCCACGATGCTCCCAAACTCGAGCACGATGGTGATACGAATTTTCAAAACTGGTATCAGAATCGTGACCTTCTACATCATGATTACCGAACTCCTGCTCCACCAAACGTTGGGTTAACTCCGCAACTTGTCTCTGCAAATCCTCAATCGTCACATCCTGAATATTACGATCATGGTGCGGGACTTCCTTAATCGGAACCTATCCTCGACGACCACGACCACGTCCACCAACCATTATAACTGATGGAATTTATCTTCCAAGAAGATGCTGACGCTCTGATACCAACTGACGCCGGGTAGGATAGTGATTATCCTATTGGCGTGTTGTAGCAGATGATTCGCAAGAAAAGAACGATAGAAAACGCCTAAAAACCAGAGAAAATACTCTGAATTCAACTTAATATTATTAATAATGCAACATCATCAAAACTAATCCACAAGTCGGGTTAAATAGCTGCGAAATATGAAATTATGGAAAAATTACCAAAAATGGCAAAATCCCAAAATTATACCAAAATAAAATATTAAGTAAAAGAAGTAAGTTGCCAAAAATTTGGCTCAATTCGAGTTTTCTAACATATGAAAAAAAAAGGAAACGAAATATTACCATAAATAGTAAAAAATAACTTAAAATTGAATTTTGGAAAGGAAAACAGTGGATTTTGGGCTCGAAATTGACGTCCACCGAGCTATTCCGCTAACCGTAGCCAAAGTTATGGTCAAATTACCAAAGACGCGTCAAATTCCCCCAATTAAGGAAATAATGGTGATTCACTTTCCATCTTTGCGCCGATCCGCCATCTCATGGTATCTCAGCGTCATCATCGTGCTATCTGACAAATCAGCATCACTCGACTCGGATCCTCCTGCATCAGGTCTTCATACCCAACTCCATCAATTTACCAAGTGCAAGTTTGTAGTCGCCTTGGCAGGGAACCAAGCACCTTTCTATGCTTGCCTCCTTTAACTTATGGAGTCCCCTTCACTTGACATAGTAGTAGACTCGGTAAAATGAAGAAGAAAAGATGAAAATAAACTGATGACGCGTATGTTTGTAGTAACAAAGCAAAACTAAAATTGTGAGTATAATTGCGAATCACCAAACTATTAGCATAGAAAAAAATGGCAATTGTAAAAGGAACGCAAAAGTCGATAATATTACATGGGCTACATAGTTTCAGCTCTTGAACTGAAAGTCAGCCACTTCTCTGGGTCAAAACAAAATTGGCCCCTAAAGCACCTAGCCTCATAAGGTCGGTTCAGAGAGTGGTCCCTTGTCTAGTCCTTATCAGAGGGTCGAGGGGTTCCACCATTTTAAACCTGTAACAAAAATCAAAGCTTTTTGACAACTCCAAGAAACGTTTCAGAAACTCTCAAATGTTTTCTAATTTTTTTTTTTTTTTTTTTATAAATTTGGGGAATTTGAGGGAACTAAGAACTTCTACAAAATTGTAATTACCAGTTAAATTTTATTATAAGTATGCATTATTTACATTTTCAAAGAATTCTCCATATAAAGATTGAAGTCTGTAAAGGGAAATGCACTGATCTATGGTATTTGCCTGCGAAGTATTGAATGCATACATGCATTTAAAGCCCTTATTTCTGATCGGTGATGAATACAGATTTTTCTTAACCTGAAAACTCTGAAGTCTGACCGAGATATATATTTTGGCAAAAAATTGTAGTGGAGGTCCTCAATCTATGGGTATTATAAAAAGTTGTCCTCCTTATTGGCATTTAGGATAGGAATCCAACATTTCTAAGAAGTTAGATAGGAGAAGGTATTTATACCTGTATTTTAAATTTAAATAGGAGAACAAAGAGAAGAATAAATCAAAACAAATAGTATCTCCCATTTCGACCGCCATAGTTTCCTCGCCCCTTTTGACTTTTTGCGTGTAGTGGAGTGATTCACATGGTTTCTTATTGAACTAGATGGTCTGGTCTGATCCCATTTTCAAAACAATATTTTTAAAGTCACTACTTTTGATGTTCCATAATTATTCTAATTTAATAGCTAAGAGAAGGACGTGGTCGGTAGATCAAAGTCACAAAGGCAAGTAGAATTTGAACTTTTGACTATTTATTTACATCTAATTGATCTCCCATTGAGCTATTGATGAACAATGGACTTAAGGAATTAATCTAACTCTCGTTCTTTGGACCATAATAAGGATGGTAACTATCAACTAAAGACCCGTTCGAACAAATTTGATAGGTTGAATGCCTTTGTTGCAGTTTTCTCTTGGATAATGCCTTTTGTACAATATCTTTCGACAACATTGTTGACAATGTTTTATGTGTCAAAAAAGTGTTGGTTGTAAAGATAATTTATTTTTTAAATTGTTCAATAATAACACGTCACGTGGTATTTTGTCAACAATATTGTAAAATGAACTGTACACCAAGCATGGTTGCTCTCTCTTTTGGTGATGGAAAGAAGTAGAATTATAAAGCTGTATGGCTACTTTTTATTTTTCATATTAAAAAATGGCCAAAGCCATTGCACAATTTGATAATGGTCATGCAAGGACTATTTTTAAGATCTAATTATTTCTCACCTCATTATTAACATCATGTGATAATTTTTTATTTTTTATTTTTAAATTCTTTCTCACTTATTTAATTTTGCATTTAATGCTTGCCAATTAAATAATTTTTCAATATGGTCCCCTAATACTAATAAATGACTCCATTATCTTCCAAGTTGTCAACCAGTTGTTATAATTTCCATTAATTATTGTTAGTGGATTGATTATTTTACTGTAAGGTAGTGATAGTTGAGGTTTTACTTTGCAGCATTCTATGAATTATGTACAAGTGGTCCTTATTTTAATTCATTCAGGTTCCTTTCAGACAAATCAAACATTTTTGAGTTATACTACATATTGGATGGGATTATAGTTTTTACAACCTCGATTCGAGTCCCAAATCCATTTTCACTACCCATAAATTAAGAAGTTGACTTTGTCAACACAATTTAAGATCGGCTCCATCATTCGACTATGCTAACTCCACCTTGAATCGGTTTTTGGAAAAGCATGTTCCAAATGTTTCTTTTAGGGTCTGAATTTTATCATGTGATGTAACCCTTCTTAGCTTATAGGGTCCAGATATTGATATGTACAAATTAACGTGACAAAACGATATAATAAATAGAAGGTTTTTATTCCTTAATATTATCAAATTTTGTAGAATTCACTTGTTATTCTTCATCTTGATCTATAGCTAATCTTGGTGTGATTTTATAGTTACTTTTTTAATTAATAAAAAAATATGGTCTGCTCCAATTAGCATGGAGCTGTCTAATTTGTGCTCATAGAATACATACTGCTAGTTGAGGGTGTACTCTTATCTTATGTAGAAAATTGGACAAATTGCAACTGACGTCATCAACTTTTTTGTTCTCTTTTGCACTTGTCTCCATCCTTTTTTTCTTGACAATAATATACTCAACCTTTCACTTATTGAAGTCTGACCTCACTACTGATGAATTCCAATTAAAAAATCAGAGCATGGTCAAATAAGAAAAGGTTATTGGTGACCAAATACTATGTAAATCTTAAATAAGTAAAATAAAATGACGATTTTTTTTTATTTTTTAGTTTATTTATTTTTTAAATTGTTGTCTTCTTCAAGCCCCTCGCAGACCTAACCGCCCAAGCCCACCATCATTACCCTGATATAAATAAAATGACTGACAAAAGTAATTTAGTTATATCCTTTGCATGGAAAGAGATGGAAGAACTTCAAATCTCACTAGTGGGTAAGAAATTGAATTTAGAAAAACGTTCATTTGCATGCAAGAATTGAAACTAAAATATATGGAGAACAAAATGAAACCTAATTCCCACCCTAGTATGTTTCCTAAAATAAATTCCCTAACCATATTACATAAATAAGATTTTGCGTTTGACATCAATACCCTTTGTTTAATTGATCGTGTGAGATGCCCATGACCTATTAATGAATTTTTTGGACAGAATCCTTCAGCGGGAGACAGAGGATGCTAATAAACGAAAGGTTAGATTATAGTGTTACCAAAAATAAAGATTATGGACATAAGTGCAAAATGAGTAAAAGTTGAAGACATCGGCTGCAATATTCAAAACCATTTGACCCGGTAAGCAATAACCACGTACTAAACAGCAGCTCAGCAAAACCACAGATAAGGAGAAAACCACCCAACCCCCTCCTATATATATATATCGTAGAAACTGTTATACAGTCACAGAACCAGGAAAATTCATTTGATATGAAGTTCTTCACCGAATTGGCTTTATGTTGGGGTGGAGCCATAGTGAGTCCGGCGGCGGAGATCACCATTAGTGGGCAGCGGGAGGAGGAGCACTGTCCAAGGAATTGCAGCCATGAACATGCAACAAGTGGAGTAAGGAAAAACAAGCCCTCCAAGCATTGGAAACCCAATCTTCTTGCAATTTCTGAAGACCATCCAATTTCTAATCTAATCCAACAGACGGTCAGATCTGATCATAATAAACAACCCCGTGAAGTCAAACCTAAATCTAATACTAAGGTTGTACCACCACCAAGTCACCCTCACAACTACTGGTACGTATTCCAAATTTGATACAATTATTTTACTTGTACACAGATGGATTTATAAGCACTGAATTTAATTGATTGGTTTAATTTTTTATTTTATTTTATTATTATTTTTTTTCAAAATTCAATGAAATCTTGCCAACTAACATTCCGTCAACCAAATCTGTAAATACAACTGAATGTATAGCATTTCTCAATTATATATGATTAAAGAAGAGAGTTGTGCTTCAGGGCATAGCCTAGTGGTGTAAAGGATAGGAGTGAGATTATCCCGCGTCTTGCTGGCAATCGCAGTGTGAGGTTCTATTCCTGAGACATGGAATTAGACTCCTTGTAAGCGCAGTGTACAAACAGCTCTTATTCCCTGACCTGCTGAGACACATCCCGCGATTTATCTCTTTCACAAAGTTCTAGAGGCGGGACGGTGGGGGCTCTCAAGATTGGGGTTCAACCTCTTTTTTTTTTATATATTAAAGAAGAGAATTGTGATAAAATATTTTGATTGTCGTATTTGTACATTAACAGTATCAAATTCGACGTGTTTGCAGGAAAACGTCCCATCTTATGGCCCTCTCCGCGTTCTCGCCGACACCGTTTATGATCTGAGTTTGGTTTGGAGGGCTTGGACATCCCTTTTTCTTTTTCCTTTTTTCTAATTAACATTTTAGCGAAAGTAAATATTGTCGTTAATGCAAGATTTTTCCATCCATGATTATTTGTGCAGCTGTGAATTCTGTAAATTCACTTTACGATTTATTTTTGTCCGAATTATTTTTGTCTTTGCAACTTTAGAAATCTTGTTCTAATTTAATATTTTTCCAGGTCTTTTAAGGATTTCGTCTGCATAACAAAATATTGTTTAGATTGTCAAGACATTTTGGGTCTTTTAAGGATTTCGTCTGCATAACAAAATATTGTTTAGATTGTCAAGACATTTTGGGTCCTTTAAGAATTTGACTTACATAGCCTTTCCAGCTGTCAAGAAACAGATAGAATAAGAGTGCGTTTGATTTGCATTTTTAGTTTTGAATTCATTTTTAGTTTTTTGCTTTGAGGGATTATTTTCGAATTATAGAAAACATGTTTGGTTTGTCATTTTGAAATACAGTTTCTTAAAATAGAAAACTAGAAAATGCGTTTAGTTTAAAATTTTTAAAATTTGTTTATGACATTTATTCAATTAATTTGATTAATTAGTAAAACATAATAATTTTATGCTAATATACCAAATAATATATATTTTAAACTTAGTGAATTTACTATTTTTTCTTACTACAAAAATAAAATAATAAATAATAAATTTTAGAAATTATTTTATAACATTTATTCAATTAAATTGATTATTTAGTAAAACATATAATAATTTTGTGCTAATATATTATCAGATAATATATATTCTAAATTTGGTAAACTTACTATTTTTCTTGCTACAAAAATAAAATAATAAATTTATAGACCAAAAATAGGAACCGTTGTAAAGAAAATAGCTAGTTTGTTATTCATCCTTCTGGATGTATTTTGCTGTCACTTGGACAGTAAACAAGAAAATAACAGTTCTTCCGAATTTTGATCTACGAAAAAAATAATAATAATGGAAATTGAAAAATGTTGTGGGTTTTAAAATTATTATGCTTCACTAAATTGTATCAAATTGCAACATTTTATTTTAAGAGTACTGCTGAGTATCCCTTGGGTATATATATATAAAAACGTGTATTGAGTGTTTTCCGCGTTTTGAATTTTTTAATTGAAAACACTTAAAATGGAAAAAAAGTTCGTTTTGAATTTTCAGCTATAAATTTTTCGTTGTTTTCGAAAATGATGGACCAAATACGTTTTGGGCATTTTCGAAAACTAAAACATAAAATAGTTGGAAAACGGCAAATCAAACGTGCTCTAATATGTTTAGAATAATAACATCAAGCTTTTCTTACTTACACAATCACAAATGCTAAAAAGATGTGACCACGATCCCATAACATTAAGGACATGCGAAATTTTAATGTTGAGGCAATATTTTCATAAATATATTTCGTGCATCAGTGATGTCCCACAAGAGCATGTTTAGCCATTTTGAGAAAAGAGAATAGTAGTTTGTTCAGTTATTAAAAAAATAATAATAAATAAAAATAAAAAAGAAGGAAGAAAAGTTTTAGTAAAGTATTGAGATTCTCTACTCTTATCCAAATGTTATAAAACTTATTAGAGCACTTCCAGTGTTGTGCCATTTCATCATAATCCACCAAATTGCATCAAATATTTGGTGCAAATCTTCTCCAACCTATTGCAACATTTTGCCCCGAAATGGTTAAATATAAATGTGCCATTCTCTTTCGCTTTGCAAAAAAAAAAAAAAAAAAATTGGTTATAGGTATTTGTGTTCATTTTTGTTATACATTTTTGTAATAGAATAAATTATTATTATTATTGTTATTATTATTACTATTACTGCTGCTGTTACTGCTACTGCTACTGCTACTACTATTATGTGCATTTGCAATAAATTTTAATAATGTAATTAATGATAATTAAGGAATGAATTAAAATTAAAGTACTCAAAAAGTTTTAAAATGTAACAAATATGATTATTTTTAAACTAAGAGGAAAATATCACAACAACCACATTGCACTTCAAAATGCATTAATTGATTATTTGTAGGATGAATATACAAAAATTCTAGAATTTAATTGCAACATTAGTTCAACTTCTCAAGATCACGATATCGGTGTAAGGTCTAAAATTTTATATTCTTAAGTTGACTAATGTAGTCCATTTAAGAAACGAGCTATGGAAGCTTGGTCCATTTAAGGTTATGAATATCCAAAATCCCAAAAATTTAAGATATTAAGTTTAAATAAATTTGATTACAAAAATTTAATAAATAATTGAGTTGTCACAATGATCATTTGCATATTACTATTTCACATAGAAAACCCAAGTTCGAATCAGCATGCATATGTGTTTATAAAATATTTTTATAAAATTATTTTTGAGTTAAAAGCTTATCATTTTGCACATTAATAACAATTATATCAAGTTAATTTGATAGAATAATTATTTTATTAGTGGGCATTCATAGAGATATGTTACAAATCATATGAATAATTCATTTCCTCTAGTTTTCATTATTAAATATTTTATAGAATAGTTTATAAGAATTATTTTTTTATGGGTTTAAAACTTTTTAAATTCCTAGCTAAAGGCTCAATTTAACAAGGTTAATAATAATATAACTCTCTCATTAGTTTTCCACTAAAAAGAGAGATTACAAGAAGAGGGAAATCACTTTTTCATTATATATTTCTTCAAATCCAAATTTGCTTTAATTTTCTCTCAATAAATCTTTTATATTATGGGTCTGTTTGATAGGGTTAGGAATTCCACAGAAAATGGAATTTAAATTCCATTTCCCACTTTTGCCATGTTTGATGCCAATTTTTTCCATGGAATTGGTTTTCCACCCACCCTTGCCCCATCAACATTTTCTTTGGTTTCCTTGAATTTCAATTCTTACCAAAGTGGTGGGAATTGGTCTTCCAGGCTTCTTCTTCTTTTTTTTTTTTTTGGTAATTAAAACAAATTCTAGGAGCAATTGTAAAATAGGATATCCCCTTAAATTGGCAATTTTCATATAAAACAAAGTCAAACGAACGCCAAAAGATAGATGGTTTTTTTGGCTTTTTTTTCCCAATTGAAACAAATTCTATCTCTAATACCAATAAATTCCATCCTTTTAATTTACAATTTTCATGTAAAACAAAGTCAAAAGAACACCAAAAAATACTTTTATTTCAACATTTTCTACGTGAAAAATTTTATCAATTAAACACAATAATCCTCAGTAAAACAATTTTTAGGCAATTCAATTTTCTGAAATTCGTGTTCTTTCCACCCAAATTTTATCTTTGCAATCAAATGGACCCTAAGTTAAACATAAAGGAATAGCAAGGGTGTGCAAAGAGAAAATGATTTTACATATTTTGTTCATTTATATTTCAAGAAAGTAAAGGTAGATGGTGCTAAATATTTACCAGTTTTGTTCATCATGTATATATATGCTTGTAATGTGTGTTAGAAATTTTGAAGTTGTAAACAAAGAAGTTTATGTATGGCTATAACAGGTTTTCACGATCCCAAGGGATTTTTTGAAAATCATGAATTTGTCGATATTCATTCACGTGGAATGTTAAATTATTTCCCGTCACTTTGTATATATTTATATATGTTTTATGACTAAAATGATGCACCATGTGATATTAATCCTACTGAACTTAAAATTCACACTTTCTACGTTGACAAAATTTTCAGATTAAAGGATGGTCAATGATGTGGGATTTACGTAGAATGTGGAGGATCCGAAGGAAGAAAAGTGTTTCAATTTTGTAATTAATCACATTTGAAGAGTTTTCTAGTTCTTACTAGTTATGCAACTTATGTTTAACTTCTAAACGATGTTAGTTAATCTTTCTTTGAGATTTTTTACTTCTTTTTTTCTTGATGTGAACACTTAAATTGTTATTTAGTTTATATATGCATATAATTTGTTGGTTTTTTACTACTTTCAAATTTCAAGATTTAGTTCGTTACAATCGGGGATTCGAAACATACTGCACTATTTTTTAATGACATGATTTAAAATATTTCTTCGTTGAGTTATTTCTATTAATTGTACTATATTTTCAAATTTATTAATGAATTTAATATTTTAGTTAATTTAACGTAATTATTTATTTAATAATTTATGTGATTTTAAAATAAATAAATTTTAAGAATAAAAAAAATGAAGAAAATGATTAAATACTGTTATTTCGTGTAATAGATTAGAGATGATTTTCAATTCAGTGCAGAATGTTATAAAACATACCTCAAATTTTGGTACAGAATTGAAGATTACCTTACATCTCTTCCCGCTTCTCAATGTCAGGCTGTCATAGCTTCACACTTCCCTTCACAACAAGGTTGGAGACACATCACATAGATTCATAAATTACAACAAAAAATATTTCTTAATCTTTATCGTCATGTCTATTTCTCCATGACAGAAATTTGACCAACACTACCAAGTGAAGGGTGCGAAGGCATACATATATGCTTCAAGATATCAGTAAATTCAAATTTACCTTGCTTGATCGCTTCTTATAAATGCTGATCTTTCTAGCAAATTTCATAACCTAGTATCGCATGTGACTCATTGTTGCCTTTGCTTGATAAACTTCCATCGATGCTGCTCACATTCTCATTCGGGGCTTTTAGGGATTTGATGACGCATTTTCTACTTCCGAAGTTTGCACACACTTTTTTCGCATCCTATTGGAAATTACTTGATCTTGGCAACTGATCTTCATACCCAAAATTTCTACTTCATTTACTGTGTTTCTTTCACACCCAAGTTATTGTCCATATATGGACTTCAGCTTGAAGTACATACAATCGTTGTATCCCTATTTTTCCTTGAAGCCACGATCCGTGCCTCTAACGAGTGTGTACAAGTCTACACCTAAATTACACGTAGAGAGAAAATGAACTACGATATATTGTTTCTAGGTCCTCAACATATTCAGTGTTCTACAAAAATAATAAACTCCAATATGAATTTTAACTTTGATTCTTTATGGATTAAGACGAGTCATCTCAATGAGATGGTCAAATTTTAAGGCTTAGTTGACACAAATTTTTCTAAAATTATTTTTTTAATCACATATTTTATAAGATCCAATATTTTTCTTCACTTTTCAACAACATATTATTAATAAATTATTTTAATTGAATTTTTTTAATAGGACAATTTATATGTTCTCGTGTAATTAGAGAAAATCTATAATGGAGGCTAGAGAATGTCGATCTTATTTGGCTTGGGTATATAGCGCTGTTTGATGGCCTTTAATTTGAAAAAAATAAATAAATTATATTTTAAATACAATGTGTGATTAAAAAGTAGAAATTTTTTTAAATTTAAATGTAAAATATTTTATTGTGTAAATGTGATTGAAATTTAGTATGAAAAATAAATTAAATTAAACGCATCAATAAAGGGCATGAGCGATATTGAGAATTGACTTTTTAATCGTTAGGGAAAAAATGAGAGTCACATGTGAAAGAAAAAGTCAAATTTTACAATTAAAATTAGAGGTGGGCGCGGGTTGGTTCGGTTCTAAAGAAAACCGAACCGACCCAAGATTTTCGAGTATTTAGTAAATGGAACCGTCGGGTCCAAATATAATTATGGAACCGTTCGGGTTCAGTTCCGTTTGGTTCAGTTCTGTACTATAATTAAAAATTTTAACATTTATAACAACATTATATAAATATAACTAATGACATATTCAATGGTTTTGGAATATACTAGCACCTTGTTCAAATGATCGCTACGGTCAAAACTTCGATTAGCGGAGGTAGCAGCTTCGATCGAAGGTCACAGCGTCAGTCGACGATTGTATAGGTTTTGAAATGTCAGCGAGGCTGCGAGAGTCAAGACAGCATTATGCACTTTAGTGTAGGTGTTTATAGTTATTTAGTGGGTTATATTTTGTTGGGCTAAGAAATGAAACAATAAAATGGGTAATTGAGCCAAAAATTAAAAAAAATTAGAAATGAAACGAATTATTGGGCCAAAAATTTGGATTTAAAAATTGTTAATTTGTTAATTTGTTTAGAAAAAATTAAAATAAAAATAATTTAATTTATTCAATATAAAAAAAATTAGAAAGATTCGGTTCTTCTTCGGTTCTTGGTCTAGAATAGAGAATCGAAATCGTACCCATTGATTCTCAATTTAGATACCTGTTCGGGTATTTAATTTCACTAGAACCATCGGGTTCGATTCGATTCAGAAGATTTGTTCAGTCCTAATTAAAATAGTGAAATTAGATCAAAAAATCAATTTTTAGGGTGAATAATAGCTCCCAAACACCCCGTAAATCAACGTACTGTAGAGGATCCGTACTGGAGCACGGTATATAAATCCAATTTTCATCCATCACATCAGTTTCAGAGGTAACAACGCCACACCCGCTTCCAGCGCCTCGTCTCTCTGTCTCTCTGTCTCTCTCTCAAATGCGCGGAGATTATAATCGATTTAAACACTGTTTATCGGGTTTGTTTAAAGGTGAATGAGATTGTATATTTGTTTTTTCCCCCCTAGAGTTACTAGTTGATTGAAATTGAATTGATGCGCATAAGTTTTTGTTTTTTTGTTTTTTTTCGGGTGTGGTTTTGGGGTTTATGAGTTTAACGTAGACATGCACGTGTTTAATTATTTGTTTGATTGAACGAAGTTTTAAGTTCTTACAAGGTTTCTGTTTCATGGATTTCTGAGTTTTGAATATGGGAATGACATTCGCAAGAATGGGAGTTTAATGAATTTGAATTCAGTATGTTTCTCTTGCTTTTACAGTTGAGGAATAAATACAGGGAAGATAAATACTTCATTTCACTTGGATTCGATTCCCATAAATGATTTGTGAAGTGGTAACAAGTGGTGAAAATAGAGGCCCCATGGGCTTACATTGCAAACGGTTTGCCTTTATAAGAAAAATTTGAGAAGTTTAGTTTGTAGTTTAGAACTCTACTTGGACATTAGTATTTATGGAGTTATTGTTGGTAGTTTACTTATGTTAGCTTACGCGCAGGCATCAGTTTACATCAGTATATCACGTAAGAAAAATTAGGAAACAGTTAACCCAATCAACTAGTTGGACAAATGTGCGGGCAAAACCTAGGTTTATCATGACTAAGCCCGAGTCTTTCGATTTGATGATTGTAAATAACAATTCAACCCCTGCCATGGTGTCTTATGAATGGAACAGTTAGTCTGCTACTTCCAGAAAATTGAAATCGCATCATTCAAATTGATAATCTTGTTGTATTGTTTACTGTATAATAGTTTCTCTCTTTTTTTCTTTTCCAGGGCATCCCAAGAGTGGCAATCAAGATTGATAGAAGCTTGGTGTAGACAAAGAATTACTTTTTGGCTTTTGTTTTGAAAAATCCTGCAAAATGTCCGGTGTACATAGTGTAAGTTCTTTCTTCTTTGTTAATATGTAATCTATTTATTATTTAAATGCCTGATTAAGCCCATGTTTGAGTCACATTTTAGGAAAAAAATGCATTATTCATGTCAAATCAATGGAAAATGTGTGGTTAAAAAATAAGAAATTTTTTTAGATTTACGTGTAATATTATTTTATTGAAGAATGTGTGGTTGGAAATTGGAATGATATCAAATTACTGTTAAAGAATGTATTTTTTTGAAAATAATGTGGCTCAAGCAAGTCCTAAGTGTCTATTTACTATCAAATGTTGGGATAATTTTGACAAAAGAAAACTTGGGTTTGATTTTTAACCCCTTTTTCCTGTACAACAGTAATTATATTTTTGAACTCCATATGCATTTACAGTTGCTAAGATGGAAAAGTTGATTAAATTTGTAAAGCATTCATGTATTCCATTTTTGAATTTTCTATAATATGTGGATGCAGTCAGCATTGAATGGATCAAATTCAAATCTCCCAGATGCTACGGGAAGAGCTTTTGCCACACCCTTTTCTGCTCCACCCGCTTCATCTGGTGCTGTTTTGAATCAGTCTGGTGGTATACAGTATAAAAAGTTGTTCGAGTAATCAACATCTCTACTCGCTGAGGATATATGAGGGTGACTAATCAATACTCATCTGAAGGAACCTTCCAAGGGCCACAAAATAGTCACGGGAACTTCAATATATCAATCATGCCCGGGACTTTTGCATCAAGAAATTCGACAGATATAGGCGGTCTTCCCAATAGTGTTCAACAAGTTGCAGGGAATGTATCTAATGGGAAATTTGCAATGAACAGTATTCCTGCCGCACTTGTTCAGGTATAGCGATTCAATTTCATGTAAGCTGAGGACAAAGTCCTCCAGTATGCCACAACAATTAATCTCCTCTCTTGCGTGTGTATGCATGCACACTCTCTTCACTCTTACAAAGGGAAAATTTCGCATAAAATATGTTGACCCTATGGTGCAGTTATCTCTTGGAAGGTCACATGGACATGGAGGTGTTAACAACATGGGAGGTAGAAGTATTTGTAATTGTGTACATGTAATTTGCATTCAGAAGTATTGCTCTGCTCCTCTGGGCTTTTCTCACGTGTAACTACTGCAAGCATTTGATTCACGACCAGGTGTTTTGCAAAATATGAGAAATAATGGACGAATTACGAACTCTGTGGGCAGTCTTAATTACAGTGGTATTACTACAAGGGGTTTAAGGTCTGCTGGAGTGGCAAATATCCCTGGTCTTGCTTCTCGCTTAAATTTATCTGGTAAAATAATTTCTAGTTATGGTTTTCAATTGGGATATCAGAGTTGCTGGCCATCTGACTGTGGCGCCTGTAATGGCAGTAAATTAAAAATAGAAAATTTTAAACCCTTGACATAGTTTCATCTTGACAGTAAAACTTTGCTTATTGACATCAATTTCCCATAGAAGTTGGCGAAACCTTGAGTTCTTATGCGTGTTTGGTTGTTTTTCTTACTTCATATGCTCTTAATAACTGTAATTTTGGATGTTCAATTTTAGATCAGTGCAGATTTATTTCTTTCATTTGTATGCAAGCATGTAGGCTTGGAACTTGTTGATCCAATCATGATACCATATACTCACCAATTCATATTCTGCTGCTGGTTTGCCACTCTCCCAAAACCAATGTCGAGCTGGGAATAATCATTTTAGCTTTATGCAATTGCTAAATGACTCAAGTGAACATGACAATGCTACTTTTGATGTAAATGACTTTCCTCAGCTATCTGGGTGTCCTCCTGCTGGTGGTTCTCGGGGGCAACTAGGTAAATTATATTTGGCGTTATTTGTTGCTTTAGCCTACCCTATGATCATATAGGATATTTTTGCTTATCACACAGGTTTGATGAAGCATAATATTGGATTCGCCCAACAGAACCAAGAATTCAGCATTCAGAATGAAGATTTTCCTGCTTTAACTGGATATAGAGGTACTTTCATGTTGTCTAGATGGCAGACGAGTGAGTAATGCGTATCTTCTGGAGATATAAAGAACAATATTATTGAATTTCTGCTTGACATTACGACTAATACAAGAATAAGTTCAGTCTGCTTGCTCAATTGGACAGTTGCTGTTATTTATTGATGCACCTTGATTATGCTCTGTTTCAACTTCTGAACATGCTACATTACTTGGTGCATTTTTGGCTTCTTTCTCATATGTACAGTTTGGCAGATCAATAGCTATTCATTTCTAATTTTGTGAATTCTAATATGAAAAAATGGCAGTTGAATTCTTTTAGCAATTAACATCTATCCTAATTGTAACAAAGCATATCAATATTTGTGGGTTGTTATTTATTATTATTATTTTCTTTTTTATTTTTTTGGGTGGGTTTTAGGAGTCTGGGAGCTTGCTCGATTACATTTGCTCGGCAAACTTTTTATACGAATCTGATTGCATATGATCGTGGCTCCAAAAATAAGCAAATGATATAGCAGTTGTGGAAGTGGTTTGTTGAGGAAATTCTAAGGAGTGTTGCCTCCTTCTCAATTTGAATATCTACATTTCCTTGTAGGACATACCAAATAAATATCTGCTCTCCTGGAAATTACTCTTATCTAATTATTATTTCCAAAGTATTTTACCAGTTTTATACGTTAAACAATCAAGTTTACACATGGGCCCACACCCTTTTGGTACATCCTGGGATGAAATGGGAAATAATACAAAAGAAACTTCTTCGACTAAGAGTTCACTTTTACTTGTTCTTTTTCTTACATTTCATCCTTGATACCCGTACTCATTCTGCTATAGTTTTTGTATTATGATTAGCTGTCTTAATGCAGCATCCAATGCTGAATTTCCTGTAAATGTGTGCCAAAAGGAACAGCTCCATGATAGTATGGAATCTTTAATGCAACCTCAACAATTACCTGTAAGTTAAGAGTATTTGAAGATTTACCTCTCTAGACTATTCTTGAAAGTCCATCTATTGCAGTGCTTAGTACTATCTGATACTATTACATGCTTTAATCTACTAGGTGGGAAGGTCTTCTGGATTCAACCTAGGTGGTACATATTTATCTCATCATCCTCAGCAACAACATCGTGCATCATCAATAAACAGCAGTAGGGCTTCCTTTCTAACTGCAGGCAATCAAGATCTTCATTTTCCTGAGCCTGAGGTATGTGTCTACAATGCTTTCTTTCACTGGTCAATAAGTCTCATTATCTGTTACTGCAGTCAGAGTGTTATCCTCTACCTGACATTGTGATTTGGCAATACCAACTATTTAAACCTTAACTCGTTGTATTCTAATGTTTGACTTCTAGTGATTATGAAGATTGAGGATTCCATATATATATATATATATATATATAAACATTATTTTGCTTTTCAATGCCCAAATCAGTGGTGTACCATCCACTTGTTTGGACATATGAATGTCTAAATCTCATATACAATATGTTGGTCCCTATGCAGCAGTATCAACAATTCCAGCAATCTCTGTCACGCTTCATCAATCCATTTAGAGATAAAGATCTTAAATCCATGAAGGCATCGAAAAGTGTGCCTGATCGATTTCGGATGCTTGGTTTTTTAAGTGTCATAAAAGTGACCAATCCAGGCTAAACCTCACTTGCTTTGGGTATCGATCTGACCTCACTCGTTTTAAATTTGAACTCTTCAGAGACTATTCACAAGAAATTTGCCTCTCCTTGGTCTGACGAACCTGCCAGAGGAGAGCCCGAGTACAGTGTCCCTGATTGTTATTATGGCAATCCACCTCCTCCAGTAGAAGTAAGCTTTGCTGATCTTGTTATTGGTTTGGTTATACAATGATATCCTGTAATCAATATATATTTTATTGATGCAGCAAAGCTACTTTGCAAGATTCCTCCCAGAGACATTATTTTTTATCTTTTACAGGTAAAATTTGTTGTTACGTTGCATTTTTTTTATGATCTAAGTTATGCAACTCTTATTTCCTTTTTGCAGCATGCCAAAAGACGAGGCACAACTCTATGCAGCGAATGAACTGAAAGTATGTTGTACTTTCTTCATGATTTCTGCTCTTGCCCCCCTAGTCCTAGGTCATTTGGCATGCTCAAGGCAACAACATTAAGCTGATTAAATATATTTGGCTATATCTGCTTCTGGATATATGCTTAGTAATAAATGCTGCTTATTAATGGTAGAAGCAAAATGTTATTGAGAAAAATTTCCCTTAAACGGTTTAGTGCCGTAATTTTAAGTGGTGTTTGCTGTTAACAAAATCCCCAATATAGTTCATGAATACTGAACTTGCTAAAGGAAGGCTTGGAATATTAAATATCATGTTTTGCAGTTCCCAGGTATTGTTATCCTAAATTTTGAGATAGGTTTTTATGCATAGTTTCAGGCGGAGTTTAAAAAATACTGTCCTGTGTGATTTTTAGTGGATTTAGTTCAGTTTTAGTAACTATTATTGTTTAGCCCTTCCGTTTTGAGAATAATAGAAGAATAATGAAACACATAGAAGTATAATTATATGAAGTCATTTTCCCATACAAAACTAATGTATGATGCAATTGCTTCGATACTAGTTAGACATTCAAAAGTTCGTCCACTTCTAATTTCTGCCACTCATCTCGTTGTCTACATGTCTCAAATATCAAAACGGAACGAACTACTAAGAAAAATTGTATTCTCACAAATCCAATAAGCCAATGGATTCATCACTAAGCGTTACATCACCTCCCAAATGACCTCTAAGCATTTCGAGGTTTCTTATATTTTTCCCATTCATTATTTCTAGCACCAATCAATGCCCTTACATCATTATTGTTTTTGGGAATCTTGAGTTTTTCAATCAATAAGTAATTACTAAATTATTTCCTGGGGAAGTATTAAGATTCAAAGATGTGAAAATTGTTTTAAGCTGATATGACATAAGCAGGGACTGTTGGGAATCTACTTATATATGCACAGCGAAATTTAATTAATTTTCGATTCCCACCAAGAATCGCCTTTGTGTTTAGAGAGAAATCGTGATAAAGATTGTACCTTCGAAGAATTTTGCAAACCTTTTGCTTTTCTTTTCGTTCAAGCAATCTTGAATGTGTCTCCACAGCTATCCAATTGTCCAGCCTCCAACGGTGATCCACACAGAGAATAAGATTGCAGCTATCAGGGTTTACCTCTTGTGCTAGTAAGAATAATGAAAACCACGTGGACCTCAAACCCTAGCCATGTATTTAAATAAACCCAAATGGGCTTGGCCTGGTCCGGTCCAATATTTAATTAATCCAATTAATTAAACCCGGTCCGTGAATTAATTAATCAAATTAATTAATTCGGGAATATAAATAACAAATCCAATTAATTAATTAATTTATCCTACAATTATTAAATTAACCAATTGACAATTTGCAATCTTCCAATTCTCTTTTGTGTGCGATCCATTAGGTTCTCGATCATGATACCTAACGACGTGAAATATTATTTTGATCTAATCAAAATTGATAAATTAAAACACCTTTTTAATTTATCATCAATTCACACTCGTCATCCCTGATTGACATCTAGCAATGTGTCAGGGCAATACATGTGACAGAAAATGTCACGTGGTATGACAAAATCAAAATCGTTTGTTTACCGTGAAACTATAATCCCTTCGTCAATATGATTCGATCAATTATGAGATATGGAAGTATGTCAATCTCGATTATCGATCATATCTCTCACTCTACTATTAAGTCAATATAAGTCAAAAGCTCATTTTCGACTTATGAGTACACCTTGGCCAAGGATTTTGTTATCGACTTAATTGAATGAAACGCATATCATAATCTCCTCCTATCTAAGAATGACGAATCCTTTATCGGTCAATCACAACTTTCATACGATTCTTGACGTACCCGAATGATATCGTATTAACGGCCCTTTGCAGAGCAACATCCAACACCGCCAAAGTATGACTGTCCTCATATAAGGTACCATGACGACCTCAAGTTTAAGGACCAATTCCACTACCGAACGTTAGAAATTAACAACTGACACTCAAATAGTTATCCATGTGGAATCTCTCGACGGGTCTCCAATGTTTTGTTCTATAACAAAACATCCACGTGTCATTTAAATGTCACCACACTTTAGCTTGTAAGATCGGTTACTTACTTCACAAGTAATAAATGCCACACGTGATGGTCTATCCGTAATAACGATATCCGTATCTCGTTATTACTTACGACCATGGATGATTTAAAATTCAATCAGATGTAATTTGTATCTCACAATCACAACTTCTTGTGATTAACAAATTACGAAGATTTAAATTTACGGACTCTATTATTTATTTAATTGTCTATTAATTAAATAATAGATCTGCCATTAAATTGCATTAATTATATATAAAAGTATTTATGTCCAACGTTGATTGGACCTAGGGCATAATATTTACAGGGACTACTTCTAAATTATTCTCATAGCAAGCAAGCAAGCAGTGAAAGAGTTCAATGCAAGGGGTGAAACTGGAGACATGGAGATTTTTATTTTTTTATGTGTAAATATAGCACAGTGAAAAAGCAACCAATAGAGGTCAAGAAATATTGAAACAATTGTTATATAATCCAATATCAATCATAGAGGGTGGCCAATTGGTACTGTGAATAATGAGTGGTGCTGACTTCCCTCTGTTTAAGGCAGAGGCACAAACCAGTTTTATTCTTTATTTATTTATTTTTATTTTTAACATTTTATGGGAGCATGTGCAGTAGCCTGCGAGAGGTGTGTGCCCTATGCATATAATATCACTTTACTCTTGTTTGGCAGATTATTGTGTTTAAACTATGTAACATCTTAGCCCCTGTTTGGCTTCCATTAATTTTCATTTCATTACATTTCATTTTTCTCTCTTCTATTTTCAACCATACAATCTTTCATAAAATAATATTACACGTAAATCAGTAACTTTTCTTTCTTTTTCAACCACTCATTTTTCAAAAAAAATACTATTCCACCCATTTTCATTACCACAAAATTGGGGCCAAACGGGGTATGGACAGTGTCCAAGTAAATTTTATACACAAAATCTCAATAACTGGGTCCACCATATGGAATAAACAAGTTCTAATTGCAATGCTAGGTGTTTGACACGAGCCTTCAATTCGTACGACCTCCATTGTTTAGAATAATGCTGTTTTCAAATATACGTTATGATCATAATAAGAATTATACTTTCATAGAGCTGATTCGTAACTGTCTGTAATTGTTAGGTGTTCAACATGTGCTTTCATACCTTTTATAATATGTTTTTGGGGTTGATCGAAGAAGTACCAATCCTGTGTACTTTGGCATCATGATGTAACTTAAGAGCGTTGATTTAAGTGAACGAATGCTATCTGCTGTACTGCACAACCCATATATGGGTATACATGTGAAGGATAACTCTCATAGACATCTGAAGACTTGCTCTTCCATACGTGACATAATTTTGATGCTAAGATTCATGGATTGATGAGATAAATGTAGTTGGAAGTAAGAATGTTAAGCCTAATAAGAAATGGCAATCACAACTCGTATAGACTCTTGGATGGACTGTTTGACTAATTTGAGAGAAGGTGGTGACTTAGAGACTAAATTAGTCATGTTGCATTAGTCCGGGATCGAAGATTAACTGAAGTGGTTCTCCATTTTTTTTTTCCTTGCTGACCAATCTTTTGAATTTATTTATATGTTTATGTCAGCATAGCTTATGCGTGTTAAAAGTTTAGCAGCATTAAGATTAACGATCTTTTTGGTTCTATTGCAGGTATACTAGAGGATGGTTCTACCACAAAAATCTCCGAATATGGTTCACTAGGCTGAAAGATATGGATCTTCTTGTCAAGACGAGGACTTATGAGAGAGGTTGCTATTACTTTTTCGATCCCAACACATGGCAGATGACAAGAAAGGTTTGCAATATTTTTGCAGTTACAAATTGCAGAAACTTGTTAAAGTGCATTTTTTTGAAATCTAATCTGCTTTATAACTACTTGTTGCTCCACTTGCATGCAGGATAACTTTGTTTTGATATATGAAATGGTTGAGAAAAGGCCCATACTCCCCTAGTAGCACACAAGAATTTTCTATTTCATTTTCCATTTCTAGAACTTAGGTTGGTTCTTATTGAGAACTCTTGTGAAATGGTGAGTGTTTTACTCTAGATTAAAGGCTTAGAGCCCCATTTATTCAATTTTTTCTTAAATGTGATTTGTTCTTAAAAAATTTATTATTTATTCACTTTAGTAGAAGTTATTGATTGTCACATAACTTGTGTTGTGATTGTATTAATCAACTGTTGTGTTTATGGCTTTTGCCCAGAAGAAATATCGTGGCAGAATGACATAGAAGTGTCGCCTGTGAAACTCAAACTAGTTTAGCTATTGTTTGAGTGTTAATTTTTCAAAAATTAATTTATGCCAAGCTAATTTTTAACTACACATTCTTCAATATAATAATTTCACACGTAAGTTGAAATTTTGTTCTTATTTTTTAGTAACATATTCTCTACAAAATTACTATTCAATAATCTATATTTTTACTCAAACAAGGACTTTTAGCCTCGCTCGGCCTCCATTCTCATTCTTTTTCTTTCTTATTTTTAACCACACAATCTTCCATAAAATAATACTAAACGTAAATTAAAAACTTTTTATTCTTTTTCAATCATATATTTTTCAAAAAAATACTATTTGAACCATTAAAATTTGAATAGAATGGGGGCCAAACGGGGCGTATGTCTCAAGTCTTTTAAGTTGCTAGTACTTAATATAGAAATAATAAAATCATACAAGTCGAGTATAGCTTGTTAGTTGAGATGAGTCATGAAATTTTTTTGGAGAAATTCAAGCAATAATGTAACACATTTTATTCTTAGCCCTTGTTTGAGCTCCATTCTTTTAATAAGAATGAATTTTTGAATAGTGTATTAATGATAAACACGTGGTTAAAAAAATAAGGAAACGTTTTAGATTTGCGTGTAATATTATTTTAGTGAATAATATGTGATTGAAATAATGTCAAAATACTGTGTAAGAATGTATTTTTTTTTTTCAAAAAATGAGAATCAAACATGAGCTCAGCTGTTAAAGTGACTAATTCCTGGAAATTAGGAGGCGTTGAAAACAAAGAAATTGTTGGAGTTCTCGATGCGCAGGTGTGAGACGCGCATGCGGGTCTCGAGCTATTACGGGACCGATGTAAACATCATGAGTAGCCTTGCCCTTGAGTTTGACAAGCATTCCTTTTCCCTTTGGCCGTATCCGCTCACTCATTATGGGCATATTTCTTGAAAAAGTCAATATTGCTTTCGTTCCTATCCAGCTTCGACTCCTGCCCTAGGAGGGCCACTTCTACTACTCCTTTCCCTCTAGTGGAGGAGTAGAAGTAGATCTATTTTCATTGTTCAAATCTTTGATAACACGAAAAACCATTGTTCTACTCTTTGGCGAACAGTGATTCGATTGATGATGAAAAAAGAGAATTCTTGGTGTAGTTCTCCGCCTCAACGACAGGAAAAAGAATTGATCAAATTCTATTGAGTCTGGCTCCCAGTGGGAGGCTCGCACGATGGGCTATTAGTTCAATGTTAGAGCACGCCCCTGATAATTGCATCATTGTGCTTGCATCCTCTGTCTTACTGTAGCTGCTGGCACAGAGTTAGCCGATGTTTATTCCCTAGATACCGTCATTAATTTAATTTTTAAAATTTTGAAATCTTATTATAATTTTTCTAATATGTTGTTAAGTTAAACACTACTTACTAATATTAATTAAAAGTAATACATAAGTAAGAATGCATAAAATACAACCCCGCACGCCCTCGCCCCCAGCCTTTCTGGAGGCATGAGAAGCTCAAATTTCTGAGTCATTATTGGGTAAAAAACAGCTTTTTTGTAGGAAGAAGCAAAACCAAACGCGCTTAAATAAATTACTTATTTTAATTATATATGTTACGAAATTTTTTTATAACCAAGTAATTTCTTTTTACTTGAAAAAAAAATAAAATGACGAACTTATTCCCCAAGATATCCAAATTTCAAAAGCCACGAAAAGCACAAATATAGAAGAAGGGGAAGAAAGAGTTGGCGTGCAAGTTTGGAATATTACACAAGGGGCAGTCTCCTTCATCTTAATTACCAAACCTGCCATCATCCATCGCCCTGTAGAATTTTCATTTCATAGAAAATGGCGAGACCTAATCAAGAAGAAATCGAGACTTTCATGAGCATCACCGGCGTCTCTGAAGCCACTGCTATTCAGAAACTAGAGGTAATTTTTATCGTTAATTTAGATTTCAGGATTGGAGTATCAATACTGCTATCAGTATTACTAATACTGAGTGATTTATGAATTTTTTAGCACCGTTTATTGTTGAATATGTGGTCTGTAATGTGTTGTATTAGGAATTATAAATGGCGTGATCAATTAGCTAGTGCAAATTACGGCCTTTTCTTATATACTTCCTGTCAAGTTGAAAGAATTATACGTAGTTTATGTTAATTCTGTTTTCTTTTAGCTTTAGCAAATTCTACATGCGCATGTTTTTAATTTTGGTGTTTGTTATACAGGCTTGGCAACGATGAAACAAATAACTAGTTATTACATTCCATTTTTTTTTTCCTGTTAAGAAAAAGTTCTAATATGCCTTATCATTGGAGGAACTAACCCATCACCCCCACCCCCACAGACACGCAATTTAGCCCTGTTTGTGGTGGATTAAAATCAGATTTTTGTTAGATTTTGATAAAAGTTCATAAAATTTGTGATTGAATAGATGTGTAGGCTCATAAAATTGTGTGGTTGAAATTAATTGTTGACTTTGACTTAAATTTGAATCCAAACCAACAGGGGACTTAGTTTGAAATCTCGACAACTAATTTGCTTCCTTTTGGTGTATTATGCTGAATGTATTTAAAAAATGTTTTGTGATCGGAATTTTAAAAATACACTAACATGAGTTTATACGCTCAAGGACAAATAGGAAATGATTTTGCTGGCTGTGAAGAAGTTTATTCTTTGATACCCTGCCAGTGGTAATATTTATTTTATTTATTTATTTTTTATCAAGAGCCATTACTCTGATTATGATATACTTATGCAAAGCTGTATGAGAGTTCATGACTGATGGTTATTTTTCTGTGCTGAAGCCTGAGGCTTGATTTTTTTTCGCCCTTTGTCATAATGCTTTTGATTGTCTTGCCAATTTATTCCATAACTTCATTCAATAGTATTTTTACTTGATTACGATTGGTCTTAGTGTTTTTTGACCTCAATGGTAGTTTTCTTTCCTTGTATTGTTTGGTTCAATGTGTGAACTTATTATATAGAAATTCTCTCTCTTATATATTGCCCAAGCATTAGGTTTTATTTATTTTTTTTAAAAAAAAAAAGTTAAAACTTCAGATGCTAGTATGTCATCATTCATGTGGATGTTTCTGGCATTATCATAACCAAGTTTTGTACCCTTTTTATTCTATAGAAAGGCTCACCATTGAATATCAACTGTGTTGTAAATGGAAACTACATTTTCCAGATCGGTAGGTGTTGTTTCATTCCTTATAAATTGTGTGCATAACATTGATCAACCTTTCACTTCTACATGGTTAGAGATGTTGAAAGTCAACAAATTCAGTGAAAGAAGATTTATATTAGTTTTATTATTGTCCCAGAATGTTAACATAGCTAGATTCTTGTGATCTGGAATGAAGATACTTTAATTCTTTGTTCTTATTGTATCACACTTCTAATATTGATGACATTTGGTTTCAGTTAATAGCTTTCAACTTGTTGTGTTGGAGGCATTTCTAAGTTTTGAACTATACTGTTGTGATTGCTTTGGTGCTCTTTTTTCGCATTCTTCTTTGTGTGTCCTTCCTTTTGCTTTTAACTTGATAGTTTTATATGCTGTGATAAGCAGGAGAATTATGGCAACCTTAATGAAGCTGTTAATGCACATTTCAGTGCTGGGGGCAGAACCATGTAATATTTTATTTTCTTTTTATATCTTCCTTTTGTTTTCTTGCCTTCTGTCTAACTAAATTCCTAAATACATAGTCGTTTTCCCCTTTTCAGAACAAATCAGGCATCTTTTGTGGCTCCTCATGATGATGTTATGGACATTGATGATCCAGTCCAAGTTGAATCCCGTAGACCACCTTTCTCATTGGCGCCGTCCGCTGGAGATGCGAATCCATTTTCTCTTCTTGATCCCAACTTTACCAGACATGATAGAGGTACTGATTTTGCAAGTGGTTCACCTTTCATTCCACGTCGAAGAGAAGTGAGGCAGATTCATAATGAAGTGAAAGATGGGAATGGACCATCGGGCAATTCCGGTAGTGTTCCTCCTATTGAAGATGTCACTGAAAGTGCCCAAGGTCTTGGTCCAGAAATCCGAGGGACACTCATAGTTGATGACGATGAAGATGGTGATGACAATGTTCCTAACGGTCCTAATACACGCGATGCTAGACATCATGAACCAGACAATGCCATATTGGGTGCTAACTTTCATCCAACACGTACTCGATCAAGTGCTCCCACTATGGTTGATGAGGCCAGCTACAGCAATGATATAGAAGAAGAAATGGTTCTGGCAGCTATCGAGGCTTCTAAGCAGGATGTTGCAATGACAGAGCAGCAATTTGACAATAACAGTGTATGTCGTGTTTTCAATGTGCGAGTTGTTTCATCCTTGAGCTCTGTCAATTTTAATGATGGTATATTTCATTCTGATACAGGATCTTAGGGATCCCATGCGTCAGCCAGGGCGATTGCATCCAGAAGATGATGAGTTTGCTCGTGCAGTTTCATTATCACTGAAGGTACGGCTGTCAATTTTGTGCCAAAATTTTCGAATCATCATTATTGCTTCCATTAACATGAAGTGATTCCAGACAGCAGAGCAAGAGAAAGTATTACAGGAAGGAAAAATTGAAGCATTAGACCTGGAAGCTGAGAAATCAGCTGACATGGAGCAGCTGGGGAAACAAAAATCCTCAAGTGGAAGGTATATGCCCCCTTTGTCGTCAATGTTTTGATAGAGTCGCTCTTCCAGTGACTGGGAGTTATTATTTCTTTGTTCGCGTATTGGGTACAATAATTCGCATAATGCATTCACGTAATTGTTGAGTGTCAAGTACTTGAATCTTCTGACGAATTACTGTTAGGCAATCTAGATTAGAGATTGGAAGCTCTTCCTTCCAGAATGAAGCAGAAGATGTAGAAGTGCAACCACTAGTTAGGCAAAGGAACAGACCTCTGTCCTCAGATTCTCTTGAAGGAGTTGAGGTTACGCCACCACCAACTCTGCGTGATAATCTTCATCAGTCGCTGCGAAATGGAAGTGTCTTTCCCTCCGATGAGGTAACATCATTTTCACCTTAATCACATATTCTGAACGTGTTTGGCTAAGCTGAAAAATAAGTTAATTTAGCTTTTTTGAGAAGTAAGATATAATGCTTATATTTTAACAAATTTTCTATTAAAAATTCAGAAAATTAAGCTTACTGAGAAAAAAGTCTAGCATTTTTGAGAGAGAGAGAGAGAGTTACTTTGAATTACTTTTAAAGACCCAAATATGTTTGGCTAGGCTTATACTTTAAGTGAACATTTATTTTAGCCATAGCCAAACAAGCACTTAATCTGTCATTATGCAATCATCTGGAAAGTAAAAAATAAATTATTTTTTTCTTATTTTTTTTATTTTTAATGAGCCTTGATATTTATGCTTTGATGAGCATATATCCTTAAAGTGGGGTGGCATCTCATCTGAGGAACACGATGAAGCCGTAATGCTTGAGGCTGCAATGTTTGGTGGGGTTCCTGAAGGGAGTGGGCACAACGTTCCCTACGCACCTCATGAGCTCATGCAGAATGATTTAGATAGAAGCATGGGTCTTCACCGTAGGCATATACCTCATCCTCCCTCACCTTCTCTTGCTGCTCAGAGATTGATTCGAGAACAACAGGTTTGTATAATGAGCATGCATTGGTAGCTACAGTTCCGTCATCTTTTTACTAAATCTATGATTACATGCAGGATGACGAATTTCTTGCTGCATTACAAGCTGACAGAGAGAAGGAATTGAAGGCCAAGGAAGAAGCTGAAGCCGCTATTGCAGAAGAGAGACAAAAAGAGGAGGAAATGCGTAGGACGCTGGAAGAGGAACAGGTAATTTGATATTGAAATTTTGGTCCATTGACCATAGCTTCATATAAGTGAGAGTTGAAAGCACTTAAACAACATATTTCTGGCTCTTTATTTAATTCTGTCTTGCTTTAAATTTCATGCCTAGGAAGTATCTTTTAAGCTCATGGCTTCATGATTTACCATAACTTTGATAGATATACTCTTGAATCTCGATGCTATGCCTTTGCCTCTTCAAATAGAGTTAATTTTGCATGATTATATTTTGAATTTCTCTTTGGCTGATGTTATTATTGACGGAGATCTTGGGAAAGCCGTAATTTATGTTTGGTAAGGTTTAGTAATTATGGTTGCCTATCTCTTCCAATGGCCTAGTAGGTTAATATGAACTACATTCTAGTAACAGTTTATGCTTTAGAGTTTAGACCTATATGTATTGTGCTCACTGGCCAGGAACTCAAGGGACAATTAGCTGCAAAAGAAGCTTCCCTTCCTCAGGAACCAACTCCAGATGATGGCAATGCTGTTACCCTTCTTGTGAGGATGCCTGATGGCAGTCGGATGGGTCGGCGCTTTCTTAAGTCAGACAAGCTGCAGGTATGGATGCTGTGAAGCTTTGGTTTGTACTTACTTTTTGTTCGCAATCTTAGCTTGATTTGTTTTTTGCAGTATCTTTTTGACTTCATTGATGTTGGCAGATTGGTCAAGCCTCATACTTACAGATTGGTAAATATTTCCTGTCGTCCTCTTCTTATTGTGCCGGTTGGTTACATTTTCTGTTAATTCTGAAGCTACACTTTTACACTGCTTTTGGTAACTGAATGCTTGGATGGAATGGTGATGTTGGCAGTGGAATGAGTTTTCCAATTCTTTGTTGACTGCAAACATCAAAAAAGAAAAAAGAAAAAACCAAGAAAGAAGGATGCAAATCCATCTCCTCGGCCAAATTTTGAAACATCAAATTGCATTTACCAAAATACTTCATGACAAAGACAATGTATATCTGTTTTCCTATGAATCTGCAAGTTATTAAACTAAAATTTACAAAGGAATTCCAACTTGCTGGCTTTGCTCGCTGATAATGGCAAGCCTATGCCCAACAATAAAATGCCATATATTTGAGGGAGCGGGAGATGGAGATTTATTGGGTAGTGAAGAAGATGGTTGAGCTGAAGATGAAAGGTGGTGACATTGGCTGTGGAGGAATGAGCATTCTAACACTTGGCCTAGAAATGACTTTCCATGGGAATATTCTTTTTCTGCTCCAAATTGACTAAAAACTCAGTTGAGGAAAGAAAAAGCTAGAATGGATTTTCCGTTCCCAGGGATTCTTGCTACCAAACATGCTCTTAGCTGTTTTAGTTGTTGCCAAACTATCTGTGAAATCTCACCACCCTACAGCCAGAAAGAAAAGAATTGTTCTTTCAGGAGCCCAAAAGAAAAAATAAATAAAATAATAATAATAATAATAATAATGTGTGTGTGTGTGTGTGTGTGTGTGTGTGTGTATATATATATATCTTGAGGAAACCAAAAAATGTTTTAAACATGAAAGCAATTTGATTTACTGATAAGGTGACTTAAATTATGGACTAGACCCTCTCTCTCAACCAGCCTTCGCTTTTCTCAACATATTTTTTTAAAGTTTTATGAGAAGTGTAGTCATTGAAAATACTATCTGCATTTTGTTTGAATATTTTGATGTTCATGGCGGTAATGCCAGATATTAAATACTGGGTGAATCCACCTATGATTCTGCGTTCTCCTCTGCGGGCAAGATGATTTGGTTATAGGTACTTGTACTGATTAATTTCTTGTTCTGCATTTTCTCCAAGTGTGTAAATCAATGTTAGAGCACAGAAAAGCTTGTGGATTCAGTTGGAATATGGCATCATGCATCGGAAAACTGCATATTTAAATAGTGGGTCCATTAGAAGAAAAAGTTTGATCAAATAACGTTGTGATGTGAATTGGTTATCCTATAGCACAGCGCATTCTTGGCTGTGCTTTAAAGTTTCTTTTCTAGAAACTATTAAAGTTTTGGGAGCAAATAACCAACCTTTAGAAAATCATGTTCAGCAATAATTTTGAAGCAAGTTTGACTAACGTTTAAGCACATACAAATATGCTCTATGATGTGAATGGCTTGGTCTATTCGACATGTTCTGACATTCTTCTATGTACAGGTAAGGCCATTTCCTCGGCATGCTTTTAGTGATGGCGAGAGTACCTCCACACTGAATGAATTGGGCCTGACCAGCAAACAAGAAGCCTTGTACCTGGAGTTGATATAATATGCTTATTTTGTAAAAGTTGTTAGAACCACAAGCTAATGTGCTTGATTACCTTGGCCAAGATCATGTATTTGAGGTGGATTTCTGGTATTTTGGTTGGAATTCGTGATGCCATGGACAATGCGTTTAGTTGGTCGGACCATTCGCCACGAATGGTTTCATGGGTGGGGCACGGTAAGGATATCATTATCAATGTCATACTTTGTATATTAGAAATTAATTGGTTTGCACTTTGAAAAGTTCTTAAATTGACTACTTGTATTTGGAGGTTGTATATAAGTGTGTGCCAGAAATGGTGTTAGGAGGATGGCGTGTTTTCAGGTTGTTATTAATATAATAACGGGCCCTTTGTCTTGACTCTATCTTCAATTGAATTGTGAAACTATCAACTATGCGACTATTCTCTATTTTCAATTTTTGTGGTTATTGGATAATTTTATGGGGATTTGAATTATCTTTTGGAGAGCCCATTTTTGGCTTGGGTGGCGATGTCAGAGATTGCATGCCAAACATATTTTCATTTCTTAAGGTTGGCCAATAACCACTAGAAAACACCTTGGCTTATATGTTAATTGATGATGTAATCCTTGAGGATAAATCTCCACCAGGGCCACATAGGCCCTGGTAATGTAGTGGCCCTGGTAATGTAGCAGGGTCCAATCCTTGAACTCCTTTTGCAGCATGAAAATCATAAAGGGAGTAGGGTCATTTTCAGCCTGAAAGTCATGAAGAGAGTAGGGGTCATTTTCATGAAGTGCCCTTTTGACCAGTGGTGGATCTTACCCATCGCCCCACAAACGGAATTTGTTCCTTTTTTAGGAGGCAAAATCCCCCAAGTATGTACACCTCTTTGTTCATAGTGTTTCCGACTTTGGATTCTATATTACCTTAGTTAATTGAAAATTGAATTTGTTCCATTTTAGTAGGCAAAACCCCCAAGCATGCGCACGCGCGCACACACACATTGTTCTTAGTGTCGTCTCTCAATAATCATCACTTCGGTGTCAGATTCTATGCTACCTTGGTAATTTGAAAAGTTTGAAATTTGAAGAAATGGCATATAGTTGATCTGTATACGTTAAACTCATGTCTATAATTGATGAGAATGCAATCTATTCTCCGTACTTTTTCGAAATACCATTTAGTTTATTAGGATTTGTTTAAATCTTGTCTTTATTTCATGAGAAGCATTTTATTCTCCATACTTTGTATGCCAAGATTAGTGTGGTCCCAATGATTTGCCGTCACGTTTGTACATTTTAAGAAAAGTGTGCACTAATTGAATAAAATATTGAAAATTTAGACCTTTAAAAAAAAAAATTAGAGTCATTTGAAGTTCAATTAGAAAGGAAAACAATCCAGATAAAGGATTAAGAGACAAAATTCAACCATATCTTGATGATTGATCTCAATACTTCTTTAAAGAACTAATGTAATGAATGATAAACGATCAATTTTCAATCAACATTCTCTTTTAATGTTAATTGAATAAGAAAACACATATTAATATATATCTATTTATTAAAAATGTAATGAATAATAATTGATCAATTTTCAATCAACATTTTCTTTTAGTGCGTTTTTTATTGATTATATTTTTATGGAAAGTATTATTTTTTTAATCCAAATTTCTACTTTTGGGGTGTTTGATTGATAATTTTTTCCATGAAAACTATTTTCCAACTTATGGTCATGTGATCATATTTTTCTTAAAAATAAGGAAAACTTTTTTTTTAGGGATAGGATATTTTTTATTTTCAGGTAATTTGCTCTCTCTAATTTATCCATTTTCTCTCATCTAGCCACAAATAAGAAAGGACGAGTATAATATTTTCTAAATTGAAAATTAAATCAATTAAACACATTTAATTAATAATTTTCATACAAATAAGTTTTAGACAATTGAATTACTTTTATATTGGTTTTCTTTCTATGCAAATTTCATACTCACAATCAAATGCACCATTAATGTCAATTGAAATAGAAAACACTAGAGGGTGTTTGCCGGGGATAAAAATTAGATTTTTTTAGTAGATTTTGATAGAAATTTTTTAATTGTGTGATTGAAAAGTTGTGAGATCCATAAAAGATATGGTCAATATTGATTGTTTGACTGTGATTTAAATTAAAATTTGATTTTAATCCATATCAAACGAGCTCTTATTAATATATATATACTTATTAAACAATACCTTCCAAATTTCTTGAAATTAAGGTTTTTAAAGTTTTCTTGAACTTAAATTCTTCTCGAGTAATGCTATAATGCTATGTAGAATTACTGGGGTTGCTACCCTAATTTAGGTGGTAATAGATGATAGGTAAAAGGAAAATTCTACTTGTACATAATTATTGCACATAATGGTGTCCATAATGTAATGTGGCAATCATTCGATTGTTGATATGCAAGTGTGAGATTTGAATTAAACGATAAATTCAGTGTCACGTGTTTTTATGTACACCATTATGTAGGTAATTATGTACATATAACATTTCTCTAGGTAAAATTAAATGAGTTACTTAATTTGACGTATCAATTAATTCCACATTAACTCCACTTAGATTGGAGTTGCAACTTCCGGTAGGACTATTACTCATTTTCCTCAGACAAACATGATGACGTGGCCCCAAAGATTAGGACAAAAAATCCATTAATCATTGTAATAATGATTTCACCGGCAGTCTAAATTTTCATGAAACTTGTCGACAAATTGATGACGTAAATCCAACGGTCATGTCCCCAAAAGTACAACGGGTAGCAGAACACTCACACGTGCATATATCAGATACCCCCATCCCCACCAGAACTCCAACTCCCCCTTAACGGTCATATTTTCCCCTACAAGCCTCCAACGGTCGTATTTTCCTGCAATCTTCACGCCTTGTTTCTCATCATTCATCAAATTGATATTCTCAAAACCCTACTTGTCATTTCATCTTTCTAATTCTCGGGGACAAAATCATCATCAAATTAAAGCTCAGTTTTTTATGGTATATGGCTTTTCGGGTAGTAGGGTTCTTGAGAAGTGAATCTCATAGTATGTGATTTTCCTTTTCGTGCTTGATTGAAGGGATTTTGAAAGATAAGAATATTGGGCTTTGGGTGGGGTGAGTGGGGTGGGATGGGATGGGGTAAGGGGGTTGATCTGATCGCTCACTTCCACAGTTCTTTTTTCAGATACAATTTTTAGCAAAGAAGCATATGCAGAAGTCTAATGTATTTCATTCAGCTCGAATTTGACACTGCTTCAGTATGAAATCCGTGTGAAAATTAAGGAATCCGATGATCATTTTTCGGTAGGCGTTTGATAATTGTTGAATTCAAATTCTTTGATTCTTTTGTTGGTGTTTTGGTGATTCTATTCTTTGTTGCACATATATAGCTTCTATATATAAATATCATCATCATTTAGGACACACAAATATATACACAAATACAGAAGATTTCAAGTGTTATTCTTTGATTTGTTTTGACATCGGATTCCGATTTTGTTTCTTGTTTTCTTTGATTTATTGAAATTTCACTCACTCTCATAGAGGATACAAATTAATTGTATACTGCATAGTTTGGGAAATAAGAAAAAGCACACACACATACCCACACAGGGATAGAAGAAAGTAGAAGGGTGGGAGAGTTGGGAGTTAAAGAAAAGAAAAATAAAACTTGGTGAGGGTCTAAATAATGTTGGCCGGTTGTTCTTCTACATTGTTGTCGCCGAGGCATAGATTGAGAAGTGAAGCATCAGGACAGTTTCAAGTTTGCCATCTCCCTTCAATGAGTACCCAAAGATTGGATTTGCCTTGTAGTTTTGGTCGGAAAGATGCCCCAAGGTCGTCTCAATCAATTAGGCCCGTAGGCATCTCTGTTGAGAATCCTATTGAAGCGAAGACGACTAATTGTTCTCTTAGGCAAAATATTAAACTCCCACCTTCAGCAAAAACAGAGGGAAGGAGAGAAAGCAAGGATAAATTTTGGGAGAAAAGTAAAAAGAAGAGGTATGCAGAGGAAGTGTCTTATGATGAGGAGATTGGGATGAATCGAGTGAAGAAGAAAAGATGTAGCGGAAGATTCCATGATTCTGAAGAAGGAGGTGGAAACTTGAGTATAGGCCATTTGGGTGGTGGGAATTTCTGGTTTCACCCTGGCTTTGATGTGCCGCGGTCTATTCCACCTGCAGGGCCTAGTCCGCCTCAAGTGCCTTTCTCGATAACGTGTTCGGGAGAGGAAGAAAGGGTATGTTTTGTGCCAAGCGACGTGATGTCTCCACCATTACCACCTTTATCAAGTAGTCCTTGGTTGGAACCTATTGGGGACAAGATTACACGTTTAGGTGACAAGAATGCAGAGACGAGCCAGGGTCGTGCACAAGAGGGCTCACGATCTTCGAGTACTTCATCAGAGAGTGGTCGCTTGGTTCTTAGGCTGATTGAGAATCCTGGGGAGCATGAAACTGGTAATGGTTCTAGGCCACCTAATCCAAGCGACAGTGTTGAGAATGTAGCAGGGCATAACGGTGAAAACAACCATAGGGAACATTTTGATATTGAGCTTGTCAACCTCCTTGTGGCTTGCGTCGAAGCAATTCGTTTAAAGAACATTGCCAATATCAGCCATATTATGGCTAGACTTGGGGAACTTGCTTCTCCAAGGGGCTCCACTATTTGTCGCCTCGCTGCGTACTTCACTGAGGCCTTAGCTCTGCGTATTTCGAGGTTATGGCCTCATATCTTTCACATTACCATTCCTCGTGAACTTGATCAGATGGATGATACGAGTGGCACTGCGTTAAGGATTTTAAACGAGGTAAGCCCATTTCCAAAATTCATCCATTTCACCTCGAATGAAATTTTACTGAGGGCTTTTGACGGAAAGGACCGTGTTCACATTATAGATTTTGACATAAAACAAGGGCTGCAGTGGCCTAGTCTGTTTCAGAGTTTGGCTTCTAGGACTAATCCTCCTAGCCATGTTAGAATTACCGGTGTTGGTGAATCGAAACAGGAGTTGATTGAAACCGGCAATAGACTTGCCGGATTTGCTGCGGTATTGAATCTACCTTTCGAATTCCACCATGTAGTTGACAAGTTGGAAGATGTAAGATTGTGGATGCTTCATGTTAAGGAGGATGAAACCGTGGCTGTCAATTGTGTATTTCAGATGCACAAGTTGCTCTACGATAGTACTGGAAGAACACTGAGAGACTTTCTGGGACTAATTCGAAGCACGAACCCTGCAGTGGTGGTCATGTCAGAGCAAGAAGCGGAGCACAATGACACGATGTTGGAAAGAAGATTTTCAAATTCTTTGAAATACTATTCTGCTATTTTCGACTCGTTAGATTCAATAAGCCTTCCGGCAGATAGTCCGCTCAGGATCAAGATGGAAGAAATGTTTGCACGTGAAATCAGGAATATAATTGCTTGTGAAGGACGAGACAGGATTGAAAGGCACGAAACGTTTTGGAAGTGGCGACAGTTGATGGAGCAAGGTGGTTTCCAATGCTCGGGATTCAGCGACAGGGAATTGCTTCAGGGACAAATGCTGCTTAAAATGTATTCTTGTGAGAACTATAGGGTGGAAAAGCAAGGACAAGATGGAAATGCACTTACACTTGGTTGGTTGGATCAGCCTCTTTACACAGTCTCAGCATGGGCACCGGTCGACATTGCGGGCAGTTCGTCGTCTTATTCTCAGCCAACTTGAATCAGCGTACAATTTTCATTCAGTTCTTCGTATACAGAAAGGAGTATCAATTCTTTGTAGGTAGAAACTGCAGATAAAATTTGTTGTCAGGTAGGAGAAGAGCCAATTTAATGAACACATAGGTTGGTATACGTGTTTCTAGCCGCTGTTATTGGGCGATTTTCATTTTTTTACATTAGTATTCATTCTTTAATTCTTTATGTAACCTGGAATTATTTCTTTTCTGTCATATAGTCATGTATTCTTTTGTGTCCTGATTATTGTCATCGAGTCATGTCCATGTATTCAGGGATGTTGTTATAAATGAATTGATCTTTCTTGTTTTTTTAATTTGTTCTATATTTTCTGTAGTCTCTGATACTGAATATTGTCTGTCATTCGATGAATAACTTGCACGAGTTATAGGTGACAATTCTCTGGAACAAGAAATGGGCATAACAATTACAAAGGTATTTTACTAAGAAAAGAATTAAGAGAAAGGGTATTCAATATGATAACAGCTGTTCCATCTGTGAAGTCATACGGGACTTCGAATGTATCGTGGGATCATCTCGACATGGAAGATTTACAAACCAAGCACACAACTCTCACCATATTTATATTAAATGAAGCACTAATTATTTCTCTCTCTATCAACTCACTGCACTCTCTTTCTCCATTTGTATCTCTCTTTCACCTCTCCGTCTAACAGACATGCATTTTTCTCATCTCACTTCACAAATACTTAAATACATATTCTAGAGAATTCTTCATATTGGCAGTGACTGGATTTGGATAATTCCTGTAGCTTCTAGTATGGCGGTGGTGATGGAACAAATTGATTTCTTCTAGTTTCTTCCAAGCTTGCTGCACTGTACATCATTCTCTAGAAATTTCTTAAAATATCGGCGATGATTTCTTCAAGTTGAATCAAGTAAATAAAGAGATTAAGCAATTGTAACGAGAAGCACTGATAAGGAAAGATTAGGAAATGGCTAAAAGAATGGCAACACAATCTACTGAGCAACGAAACACAGAATGGCAAAACACAATATGTTAAGGAACGGAAGAGATAATGGCAACACAATTACGTAACTCTTGGCATTTTTAGAAATTATTCCCAGCTAGGATCATTGCCATTAAAAGCTATAATATTTTTCTTGTCTTGCTGTGTTATTAACTGCATGATTAGGAACTCTTGTGGTATATATTATGCACAGAAAACTCAATGAAATCAACACTAACCTTTACAAACAATTCTGAAAATTCTCGTGTACAAACTTGCAAGCTTGAAACCATGTCTTCTTCCTCTTATGTTTTGAAAAATGAACCACAATTGAATATCCAGCAATTCCACCAGTATTCTATAGCTTAATTTTGATTAAGCTAAACACATCAAATTTTCTATTATGGCGTTCACAAATTCTTCCATTAGTTCGAAGCTTGGATATTATTTATCATCTCACCAATGAAGAATTTGAGGATGAATCGGGAAAGAAAAGTCCAAACCCACAGCACCACTTGTGGCTCAACAATGACGGCATCCTTACCTCTTGGCTTCTAGGCACTATGAAGGAGGATGTATTAAGTCTTCTTTTTGGTTGAAACTGCATCTTCTTGTGAGATTTGGACATCTCTTCAAACCGAACTACTTCAAATCACGGCGGAGAAAGAAGGGCATCTAAAAAGTATGTTAATGAAAATTAAACAGGGAACACGATCTCTATAGGAATATCTCAAAGATTTTAAGTCCATAGGAAATCGCAGCATACTTTGACATGAATTTTGCGTTAAGAAACTTACTTGAAATTATGAATTCCAAGATCTTTTTGTGTGGTTGAATCACCTTGCATTCCAAAGCTTCAAAATCTGCATTTTCTTGTATCCCAATCCCGATCACAATGGAATGAGATTATTATCCACAATCTAAGTGCCTTTTTTGTTAGAATTCATGCAAAAAATGTGGTTCTTGGGGCTTTCCAATTTTGGTGTGAATTTCAAACCTTTTTTTTTTTTTTCAATAACTTTTATATGGAGTTTGTAAGGAGTTATTTTGGGAGTTGTAGATTTGAATTCCAAATTCAAATCATTCCCTCCAACCCTTTTTGAAATCTTGCGGGTCAGGTTACCTCACATGGACGGCCCATTATGTGTATTTTCCATCATAGTCCATATGCGACAACCTTGCTACTATCAAAAGTCGATTTCGGATCCTGACAAAGTCTTCCAATTCTCACAAGGATTGGTACCAAGGTGCGGGTTTTTTTCTCTTGCAACGCTTGCTAAACCTCCTTATCCTTCATTTGGAGGGTTTGTATTAACTTTGTAAGGACAAGAGCAAACATTAAAATCAAGGAATGAAGAGGAGAAAATATTCATTGAAAATATACATGCCTTTTTTGGTCAAAGAGGATGTGGTCGGAATGGTCGTGGAAGACGATGACCTTTCAATTCAAGAGGAAAAGCTTTTAATCCTCCTAGCCGCTACAGTGACAATATGGACAAATGAATACTTAAGGAAATGGCAATAACAATTTCGAACAACCGCATACATACTTCAATCGACAAGAAAAGAATGACAACAATCTTTGACAGAAGCCACCACGATCTAATAACTCAAATAATACCGATAAGGTAAGTTATGTGGAAAGACAAATCAATCTGTAATTGAATGTTGGTATCAGCTTTGATAACTCATGCCAGTCTGAAGATCTCCCTCAAGCACTTGCTACTTTTTCCTTTAATGACTCCAGTGATAAATTCGGGAGTAGATTGTTATTTATTAAACCATATAATGGGAATGATGTCATCAATGTAGGTAATGGAAACACTTTTACCTATTTCTTACACTGGCGATGCATGTGTGGTCACTAATGAAGGAAAATCGAATTTGAAAGATGTGTTAGTAGTCCCTGAATTGAAGAAAAAATTGTTATCTGTTGAAAAGTTTACGTCAGATAGTATTTCAATTTTGAATTCACGTCATCTAGCCTTATTGTTAAGGACCTAAACTAGCGGACGATCGTGATGGGGCTTAAGAAATGACAGCTTTACTCGTTAAAAAGAAATAATCAAGAGGTCTTTGTGCAATAAAGAGTGGTAGCTCTGACTCTATTTCATGGCATCAGCGATTGGGTCATCCAAATCAAAAAATTCTGTCTTGGTTGAAGGAAAGGAAGATCATTGATGTTACAAATTAGATAACAATGTCTACCTTATGTATTAGTTGCAAATTAGGAAAGATTTGAAAACTACCTTTCAAGCAAACAAATAAAATATCTGAGTATGCTCTTGAAAAGATACATTATGATGTTTAAGGATCAGCTTCCTTGGAGTCCAAGCAATATTTTTTATTTTATGCTATATTTGTTGATGATTTCTCAAGATACGTGTAAATTTATGTTTTAAAAAGGAAATCAAAATTTCTTGATCATTTTCTTAAATTCAAAGCATTTGTTGAAAATCAGTTTGATAGGAAAATTAAAATTTTCCAATGTGATGGAGGAGGTGAATTTAGCTCTAATGATTTGTTGGATCATATTGCTAACAATGGAATTGAGCTGCATGTTTTATGTCCAGGCACCAGAGAACAAAATGGAATCGCAAAACGGAAGCATCGCCATATCGTCAAAATAGGGATAACGATGCTCTTCCATGAAAGCATGCCTTTATCATATTAGGTTGAAGCATTTTTTACTGCTTTCCATTTAATCAATCGTTTGACATCTTCAGTGTTACAGAATCAAAGCCGTTATCATAGAATTTACAAGAGTCACCCTTATTACAATGGCTTGCCGGTGTTTAGATGTCAATGTTTTCCAAACTTGCGACATCAAGGTAGTTCATAAAGAAAACATATCCATGGGTCTTTCTTGGGTACAGTCCAATTCATAAGGGCTATGGTTGTTTGGAGCCAACCACAAAGCGAGTTTACATTTCACGACATGTCTTTTTTAATGAGGAACATTTTCCTTTTCAGCTTCGATGGTTACTCCTAATTCTCATCCTTTGGAATTGTCAGAATTCTCATCCTTAGATGAGTGGCTTGAAAGAAGACAATGGCAAAACTGGGTACTTTTAAAAATAATCTAGTCAAATCACCAAAATTTCATATTGACTTTTCAAAACACAAATATTATCACTTTGGCCTATTGAACATTGAAAGACAAAAATACCCTTAATTATATTATACAATTACCAAACCTTATTTTGTTTAAAAGACATTATTACCCTTTTAGTTAATAATTGAAAATCAAATACTTTCCACTTAAAATTTAAAAATTAGCTTTTAACACAGATTAAAACTCTCATCTTTCATTTGCTTCAACCTCAGAATTTAAAAGAAATTCCAACACTGAAAACGTTTTTTTTATATCAATCACTTCGAATCAATAAGTATATTTACGCATGTTTAATTTCATTTCGGTAAATTAGTGTACGTTTTAATCGTAAATTTTATTTTGACATAGTATTTAACGCAAATAAATTTTTTTGATTAGATCTATAATTTTTTTAGAAGCATAGAAGAAAAAAATTCATCTTCATTTTTATCAAATGGACGTTTAAACAGTCGGCCGACGTTTTAAGCAGCCGGCCAACTGTTTGTCAACAGTAAAACAATCAACTGTTTAACAGTCGGCTGTTAAACAGTCGACTGTTAAGACTGTTAAACAGTCGGCTGTTAAAAGCCGACTGTTTTTAGACTGTTTCAACTGCTTTGATGTCAATTTTTTTGATAATTTTTATTGCCACTAATTTTTTCTTACAATTAATAATTTTTATTATTAAATAAACAATTTTCTGAATATTTCTTTTTGTAATTAATTAAAAATTTTGTTTCGTCATGCAAATATGACTATAATCTTGATTTGTTACTTTGGTGATTTTGAATTAAATGAAAATGATCGATGAATATAAAGATTTTACGAAGAAATTAAATGTACAATGTGTACAAAAATATTTTACAATAATTAGAATTATTTCTAGAGCTGAAAAACGAAACCGTGAAACCACAAACTCGAACCGAAATCCTTTTTTTTAAATCATTGTTTTGGTTCCACGTGAATTTGTCAACGTTTTTGGTTTTGAACTGAACCAAACCGTTTCGAAGTGGTTTGGTTTAGGTTTCAAATTTTGCAAACCGTTTCAAATCGCCAAACCGTTTACCAAAAAATCTGAAAATAAATTAGTCTAAATTTTATTTAACTCAATTAAAACTTAACACATATCAATTAAAAATATACATTTATATTATACGTGATTCAATTAAACTCAAATCGACAATTATACATCTCAATTAATTAATTAATCATATACAAATATTCATGAGTCGGCCTAACTGTGAATGCAAA